ACATGTAAGGGAGGAGAAACGGAAGAGCATTGTAATCCCTTACGTTGCAGGCCTGTCAGAAAAACTCAAGAGGATCTTTGGCAAACACCATATTCCTGTTCATTTCAAGCCTGGCAACACACTAAGGCAGAAGCTAGTCCATCCCAAGGACAAAACACCAGACATAAACAGAGTAATGTGGTATATGCTGTCCAGTGCAGCGAGGAATGCTCCGACCTGTACATTGGGGAAACTAAACAACCGCTTAACAAGCGCATGGCTCAACACAGGAGAGCCACTTCCTCAGGTCAGGACTCAGCTGTCCATCTTCACTTAAAGGACATGGGTCCCTCTTTCGAGGACAGTAATGTACAGGTGTTGGCCAGAGAAGACAGATGGTTTAAAAGAGGAGTTAAAGAAGCCACCTTTACCAGACTGGAGAAACCTTCTCTGAACAGAAGGGGTGGACTCAGGCACAATTTCTCTGGCACTTACAATGCAGTTCTCAGCTCTCTCCCCAGGAAACTCCACAAACATTCACACCTGGGTGGCATGAGTCACATGACAGGGGTTGTTAACGACCCTTTCAGGTTAACGACCCTCAAGGGGGAACATCCAGAGATGGGTTTCTACGACCCATTCTTTCCAACTGTCCCAGTCGTTGTCTGTCCCCTTCTCCAGTAAGATAAATATCTGCCCCTCACACTTGCAATAATTAGAACTGAAGAAGCTTCTTGGATATGAGGCGAAATGTGTTCTAAACTCTACACAGTCCAGTTGCCTGATTTTGGAGTCTTCAAGGAATCCATGACCTGGATGAATGAGAATCTCCATGGACAGACCACAAAAATGGCTAGAAAGAAGCAACTGAGTAAAGAAACAAAAGTACAGATTTGTACATTGAGGAAAGAAGGATACACAGAAAGAGAAATTGCAAAACGCCTAAAGGTGTGTCCACTACACTCTGAAGAGACTGGAAGTTATGATGATAGGCCTGTAGTGTATACATATATATATATATATATATATATATATATATATATATATATATATATATATATATATATATATGTATATATATGTATACATATATATATATATATATACATATATATATATATATGTATAGTATATGTATGTGTGTGTGTGTGTGTGTGACACTACTCCCCCCCCCCCCCCCGTCTGGGTAGAGTAGGCTGCAGGGTAAGGCAGTGGGTACCATAAACACAAATGAAACTGAAAGTGAAATGGTAATATGATGTGTAGCCTCATGTTTGTGGAAACACTATTAAATAATCACTTTGCAGATTGTATCTCTGAATCTTCCACTGCAATTTTCTTCGTCCTCCTCCTCTTCTTGGCAGCAAGTTAACAATGACACTTTCTCACTATGCATGATCGAATTAATCATTTAAATAAATGATTCCAAATACCACATGTTAAATGTGCTATAATATTGTTTTTGTTGTTGGTTGTTGGTTTGTTTTTCCATTACAAAAAATCATAGAGAAAGAGTTCTGGGACTCAATCTCAGAAAAAAGACTTTTTCAAATGAAATCTTGTTTTACGAAAAGCTATTTTATTTAAAATTGGATACCAGTGATCTAAATGCACAGTTTTTACACAAGCTTGCTCTGCAGCTTTTGACCTGTTAGAAAAGGGTGTACATCTGCGGACTGTTATATTTGAGAAGAGGCACATACAAACTGAAGAGGCAAAAATACACAGTGTTGAGTAAAAGTGAGATTTCCCTGTCTGGTTTGATAAAGGATGTTTCTCCCACACACCTGCACTCTTATGAATACCTTTATATTTCTCCATGAGCATCAAATAAATCAGGGGACGTATCTATTGATGTGTTTTTTGGAGTGTTTGCAGACTGTGATTCTGCACCTGCTGTATGTCTGCATTCGCACTGTCGAGTTCAGTTGTGAGAGAGTGACTGTGAGGCAATCAGAGTGATAAATGCACATATTCTAAGCAGATGTCTATAGAATAAATCAAGCATGCTATTACTCTGCTCATGATGAATGACGCATCACATTCAGAAATACAGATCTGAGCAAAGTGGCCTCACATGGATCAGGAACAGTGGTTTAGACAGAGAGAGGCAGGAAATAAAAAAAGACTACATGCATCTGTATCTGTGCTCATGAGCCAGGTGTGCTTTTAAATCACCTGAGGAAGAATTTATAACTCTAATGTGAAGTGGAGCTAGTATATTTGTGACTTACTAAAATCACTTTTCCTGCAGAGGTTTGAATTCTAATTCCCTATACATGAATTTGATGAACTCATCTCTGAACAACAGATTAAGAGCTTCATTTGTCGACATAATCAAAGTGTTTGCAATATGAAAATGCATATTTTGGCACAAAGTCAATTTTCCTCTGCAAAGCACCATTTCTCATTTGTTGATGCACTTATTTATTTACTTGTTTTTTAAATTGCATAGAGAAATCAATCATTGAATGAAAATTCTGCAGAAAATACGAAGACAGTGTACGTGCACATCACCAAAGTAAAGGCCATGGTTCATCCTTGAAGATGTGGTCATTTGTCCTCAATAAGTTTTCCTTTTATTAATTTTGTAACAGACAAACAGATAAGGCAGACATTTCAGAAAGTCATTGCAGAAAAGACGACAGGCTCTGTGTTAGCTCCGTAATGAGAGAAATGTATTGACTGTGAGCTTTAAAAGTTAATTGGAAAAAAAGCAGTAAAGAAACAACACCTCATTACTGTTGTTGATGAAGTTTGTAAATACGGCTTGAAACTTTTTAACCTTGTTCCCCAACCTTTTATATTTTCTGCACTTCTTGGTGCATTCACTTGTTGTGCATATGTGTTTCTAACTTTTTAGTTTGACATCTTTTGTGTCACCCTTATAAGAATTGTTGTCAGCTATAGTACAGCGTGATATGTCTGTAAAAAGCTCTATACGAATGCATTTGACTTTGCATTGTCAAAACAAATTTGCAATAGCGAAATATTACTCAATACACAACCTGTCCTTGCTTTTCTTCTCTTGATTAAACCAGAATCAGGTGAGAGTTTGACAGAGCAGAAGTCTTGAAGTATATTCCAAAAAACGCAACAACAAACATCTTTTAAAACTACACAACTCAAAAATAAACACAATTACTGAAACAGCACTAAATTAAACCTTTTTTTTGTGCTGCTCTTTCTCTCTCTCTCTCTCTCGCTCTCTCTCGCTGTCCTCTCTTGTTTGTGCTGCAGGCTGTTCAATCATTCTGATCATATTTGTGAGAAATTAAATTATTTTCTTTATTATTGCTAGAAAAACTCAATGTGCATCTGTCTAATATATATGGCTGTGGCTGACCATATATCAACTGTAAACTCTGCTTAGCTGCCATTGAATTTCCCTTTGGGTATCAATAATGTTCTTCTTATCAAATCTTATCTCATCTTATCTTCAAAACAACACTAGCAACAGATTTAAACAAAACAAAAAAAAAAAAAAAAAAAAAGAAAAAACAGTTTTTTTGGTGGTCAAAACACAAAACTGGCTCCAAACTAGCCCTGGAATCAATTTGATGGAAAACAGGTAAAAGATTGATCCTTAAGTCATGCTGAACTAGCCTGGCTGGGCCATCCGGTTGCGTGAATCACTTGCCGTTCCTTCCCACAACAAGGCTAATGCTGAACTGATGCTGAGGAGCATACATATCTTCATGTTTTTTAACAAAGAAACACTTGCAAAATAAATCAGATAATAGCACTTAAGTTGTAAATTCACATGAACTAAGTGATAAATTTAAGAGAAAATGTAGCAAATTTTCCAGAATAAAGTTGTGACTTTAAAAGAACTCAATCCATAGTTAGTCTGTATTTTATTTTTCAAGGAAAAGGTCAAAAAAGCAGCCAGTCATTTGAAGACTGCGGAGCATCTTTTGTGGTTATACGTTAATATAACCTTCATGAAAACTGGATTCTCAATCTCTCAGAGCCACATGGTCATAAGTATTAGGAGTCTGATCCACCCGTGTGTCCACAATAAAGACGGTCAAGCTGATGGACGGCCTGTGCACGCCTCTGCAACCAATTTATTTTAATGCCAACATGTTCCAAGAGTTTTTTTTTTAAATTAAAATCTGGTGAATGCACCAGTCAAATTTCTTCTTGGTCATTCTGTTATTCAGCGTCTTCATACTTTCAGCATATTGTTTGTGGCTCACATCAGTTCTAGATTGAGTTGTACAAATTTAACACTCACAGGAATGACACATCTGAGAGTTAAGGTTTAGTCTTGAAGAGATTAGATAGATTTTATCCCTCTGTTTTTTATTCATCTTGTAAAAGCCAGCAGTTTGGCAGATTTTACACAATACACGCCTCCTGCAGGGCAGCCCACACCACGCTGCAGATGAAGCAATCGCTTCAACACTGTTTGGATTTTTCCTGATCTGTCTGAGCGATGTGATGAAATCCTCCCTCCCTGTCAAATTCAATCACTCTCTGCAGGTCGCTGTAACACTGAGTGGACCAACCAGCTCAGATTTTAGTCTGCTTTTTCTGCTTTCTGCTCGCAGTGCCAGAAATGATACGTCACCAATTCAGAGCTCATCATGGCTGCTGTCAGCTGGAAAAATATTCAGAAGTCTCTTTTTTGTGCTTCTGTCATGTACAGTTGAGGATTTACGCCACACTGTTGCATCGTTTATGCTAAACAGAGACTCTCTTTCTGCTCCTCCCGAGGATGGATGGAGCTCGCACACCTTCATTTACAACCTGTTTGACCCAGTTTGTGGAGAAAGAGAAGAAAGTGGATGTTTTTAGTAATGATTTTAGATTGCATTTGTCACAGACTCTGCTGCATTTACACATCCACATTCACTCTGACACTGTATATAATAATGTACCTTAATATTTTTTACATATAGTACCATGTTTTCTTTTCAGGGGCATCTTTTGGGAGGGAGTTAATTCTAGAGTCCTAAAAAACACAATTAATGACCATAACTCCTCAAATTTAGGCCATTTATTTTGTATGTTATGTGGCTGACAGTGTGTTCATCTCTGTTCTCACCCAAAGTCATGCAACACTCAGAGAAAACGCTGATAGTGTGAGCCAAAGCACTCCATATGAAGAGGTTGTTCACACTGCTGGATGTTTCTCCTCTGAAGCTGCTCTCTGCCTCAGTCATTGTTTACTTCACTCATGAAGCTCATCAAGCACGTAGCAAGATCCGAGCATGAACCCGAGCGCTTTATTCGCCTATCAAAGGCAGACGGGTACGGTGATTTCATTCACCGCGACTCCAGAAATGATTAAAAAACTACAAAATGACGTATCCGCGCTCCCGCTGATATGCTGACATGCGTACACAGAGCAGAGCTGTCCCCCCGCGACTCTCTCCCCGCCTCGTCTCATACAGTCTGTCAGACTCTGTGCAGCACCTTCGGAGCAAGCAGGGGCGCCTACAGGCGCCAATTTGACAACAAGAGTTAATACAAAACCGCTTTGCGTTTAAGATTTATTATTATTATCTTTTATTTTATTTTTTTGGAAGTGCTCGTGCCTCCCCCCATGAGTCATGACACAAATGCCGCCCCGGGCGGCTGCCCTGTTCGCCCGTGCCTAGAACCGCTACTGCCTGTGTGTAAAGGACACATCACAGTCCATGAACTTGATTCATGCAACTGAATATTATAATGTTGGCATGTCGGCCGAACTCCGGATTGAATATTCACAGAATTTAAGGTTGTGGAATTGTTATGTACAGTGTGGCAAAAAAGTATTTGGCAGCCACCAATTCTGCAAGTTGTCCCACTTAAAAACATGATAGGCCTGTAATGTTCATCATAGGTACACTTTAACTATGAGAGACAGAATGTAAAAAAAAAAAAATCCAAGAAATCACATTGTTTGATTTGTATTATGAATTTATTTGTATTATGGTGCAGAAAATAAGTATTTGATCAATAACAAACGTTCACATCAATACTCTGTAATGTAACCCTGGTTGGCAATGACAGAGGTCAAACGTTTCCTGTAGGTCTTCACCAGGTTTGCACACACTGTAGCTGGTATTTTGGCCCATTCTTCCATGCAGATCTTCTCAAGAGCTGTGATGTTTTGGGGCTGTCGCTAGGCAACACAGACTTTAACTCCCTCCACAGATTCTCTGTTGGAGACTGGCTAGGCCACTCAAGAACCTTGAAACGCTTTTTACATAGCCACTGCTTTGTTGCCCAGGCAGTGTGTTTGGGATAATTTTCATGCTGGAAGATCCAGCTACATTTCCTCAATGCTCTCACTGATGGAAGGAGGTGTTTGCCCAAAATCTCATGATACACAGCCCCATTCATCCTTTCCTTAATATGGATCAGTCATCCTGTCCCCTTTGCAGAAAAGCAGCCCCAAAGCATAATGTTTCCACCCCCATGCTTCACAGTGGGTATGGTGTTCTTGGGATACAGCTCAGCATTATTACTCCTCCGAACATGGCGAGTGGCATTTATACCAAAGAGTTCCATTTTGGTCTCATCTGACCACATGACATTCTCCCTATCCGCCTCTGGATCATCCGGATGGTCTCTGGTAAACTTTAGACAGGCTTGGACATGTGCTGGCTTAAGCAGGGGGACCTTTTGAGCACTGCAGGATTTTAATTCATGACGAAGTTGTGTGTTGCTAACAGTAACCTTTGTTACTGTGGTCCCAGCTGTCTTCAGGTCATTGACCAGTTCCCCCTGTGTAGTTTTGGGCTGTTTTCTCACCGTTCTCAAGATTATTTGTACCCCATGAGGTCAGATCTTGCGTGGAGCCCCAGGTTGAGGGAGATTGTCAGTAATCTTGTATTTGTTCCATTTTCTAACAATTGCTCCAACAGTTGATCTCTTCTCACCAAGCTGCTTGCCTATTGTAGACTGGCTCATCCCAGTCTTGTGCAGGTGTACAATCTTGTTCCTGGTGTCCTTAGACAGCTCTTTGGTCTTGGCCATGGTGGAGAGGTTGCAGTCTGATTGTTTAAGGCTGTGGACAGGTGTCTTTTATACAAATAATGAGTTCAAACCGGTGCCATTACTTTAGGTAACGAATGGAGGAAAGAAGAGCTTCTTAATGAAGAAGTAACAGGTGTGTGAGGGCCAGAATTCTTGATTGTTTGTAGGTGCTAAATACTTATTTTATGCACTGTTATACAAATAAATTCTAAACAAATCATACAATATGATTTCCTGTTTTTTTTTAACGTTCTGTCTCTCACAGTTGAAGTTTACCTATGATGAAAATTACAGGCCTCTCTCATCTTTTTAAGTGGGAAAACTTGCAGAATTGGTGACTGCCAAATACTTTTTTGCCCCACTGTATATACGTATGTGAGTGTCCAAGTGAAAGTGTGTGAGTATCTGTGTGGATGTGTGTGCATGTGAAGGTGAGTATGTACCTGTGTGGGAGTGTCTGTGTGAGAGTGTATGTGGGTGTGCTTCACTCTCTAATTGCAGGATGCCCAGCACCTGCAGCTGCTGCAATAAAGGGAGCAGAGGACATGCAGCTCATTCGCTCATAGTCCAGAGTGACGTTCTGCAGTGGAGCAGTAGCCACCTGAGTGTGATTTCAATAGTGATTGGAAAAGTGATCTCTCTTTGTTTTAGACCTTGTGGTGTCTCTTTCATTTCTACCCCAGTGTATACCGTGTTAAGCCCCTTTGGTGACTTTTGTAGCTGTCACCTGTTCTCGGTTAGTCATCCTGTTTTTGAGAGGATCACTTTTTGCTTTTAGAATTATATTAAATCAGTGAGGATTGTTTTATTTTTGTGGTAGTGCTGACCTGAGTTTGATTATTAAAATACTTAAGTTATTGCCTATTCCGACCATTCTCTCTTTGTTTCCATCCTTACCTGTTTTTTTAATTGCTATTTTCTCAGTCCTGTATACCCTTAGCCCAACAGGAATTTTAACAGGAATCATTAGATAAACTGGTCATCTTTTTGTAACTGTGTTGTTAATTTGGAGAAAAATTTGCCCCTCTTTATGAACCAAGCCTTGTCACAAAAAAATATGTGACTGTTTTTGAGCTGCTTTTTACCAGCTGTCTTTTCACATCTGTAAATGAATGGACCTTAAATAAAAAGGATAAGAACTTCCCCTTTTCATCCACCTCACTAGACAGTATAACTGCTGTGACAACATGATTAGGATGAGGTGCACAGAGCAGCTCTGAGCAGCAAAAAGCGGAGATGCTGACAGTTAGCAGTAAAATAAAACACTGAAGCGAACCTCACAGAGATGGCCTGGACTGTAGTTTGCCGAGCCAGTTATATCCCACTGAACCTGTGGCGGCTGCAGGATCATGATCAGCTTCAGTAGTAAGTCCTTCTCCAGGATAGAAATATGAAAGTACCCCGGCAAATGAAAGCGAGTATTCAGGTTGATCTTACTAAAATCCCACAAAGCAGAACTTTTCAAAATTGAATTGAGTTACCTTCATGCAGTTATCTCTACCATGTAATCAGCTCCATTGGCTCCAAACCAGCCAATGCATTATTTGCACACTGAGCTTTGCCGAGATTTAGCAATATGATGCATTTACAGATTCTCCAAAACAATACATGCTAATTATCAAAAGAAATACAACTGGCAGACTGTGCGTTCACCTGTGTTTTAAGTTCTGTTACTTTTGTCTCACTTTTTTTTGTCCAATTAACGACAATGTCTCAGACTTCGTAGTCAAATCTTCACCTTCTAGAACAAATTAGCAGCTTTTTGTTTCGATTCAGTAAAATCGAAGTTACTTGTACATTAAAGCGTGGAGCTTCTGTCAGTATCTCTGTTACACAGAGTGACACAGACATACTCCTCTCCCACTCATCCTCGTACACACACACACACACACACACACACACAAGCCCACACACTTACACTCTCACTAAGTGCTGTAAGCCCATATTGCTCAATGTTTACCAGTCATGTTGGACAGATGGATCTAGCTGAGTCACTTGCCCTCTTTAAGCACTCTGTCACTGTACGTGTGCATGTGTGCGAGCATATGAGTGTGTGTTTGTGTTCCTGCACACTCCTCTCTGCCTCCACATATGTCAGTATTCATCTTCCTGTTGTTCAGTGGGTCTCTATTTTAAATCCCATTCTCATATGCTTATTTGACTCTGGTGAGGTTTGTCTTTTTTCTATTTACTCCGATATATTAAAAGAAAAAATCATGTGAAGAGGTTAAACCTAAATTCAATCTGCCGTGGCTGTGTATCTGTGAACTCATCTCATATATATATATATATATATATATATATATATACACACACACACACACACACACACACACACACACACACACACACATATATATATATATATACACACACATATATACATATATATATATATTTATATATATATATATATATATCTACAGTGAATCCGGAAAGTATTCATATCACTTCACTTTTTCCACATTTTGTTATGTTACAGCCTTATTCCAAAATGGATTAAATTCCTTTTTTCCCTCAAAAATTCTGCACAAAATACCCCATAATGACAAAGAAAAAAACTTTTTTAGAACATTTTGCAAATTTATAAAAACAAGGATTTCGATGTACTTGGCAGCATTAATTTTTCCCTTGATCCTGACAAGTCTCCCAGTTCCTGCCGCTGAAAAACATCCCCACAGCATGATGCTGCCACCACCATGCTTCACTGTAGGGATGGTATTGGCGAGGTGGTGAGCGGTGCCTGGTTTCCTCCAGACATGACGCTTGGCATTCAGGCCAAAGAGTTTGATCTTCGTTTCATCAGACCAGAGAATTTTGTTTCTCCTGGTCTGTGAGTCCTTCAGGTGCCTTCTAGCAAAGTCCAGACAGTGGCTTCTGTCTGGCCACTCTACCATAAATGACTGACTGGTGGAGTGCTGCAGAGATGGTGGTCCTTCTGTAGGGTTTTTGGTCACCTCCCTGACCAAGGCCCTTCTCCCCCACGTGCTCATTTTGGCTGGGCGGCCAGCTCTAGGAAGAGTCCTGGTGGTTCCACACGTCTTCCATTTCTTAATGATGGAGACCACTGTGCTTTTTGGGATCTTCAATGGAGCAGATATTTTTCTGTAACCTTGCCCAGATCTGTGCGCGATACAACCCTGTTACGGAGGTCTACAGACAATTGTTTCGACTTCATGGCTTGGTTTGTGCTCTGACATGCTCTGTCAGCTGTGGGATCTTATATAGACAGGTGTGGCTTTCCAGATCACGTCCAATCAGCTGAATTTGCCACAGGTGGACTGCAATCAAGTTGGAGGAACATTTCAAGGCTGATCAGTGGAAACAGGATGCATCTGAGCTCAATTTTGAGATTTATAGCAAAGGGTGTGAATACTTATGTATATGCAACATTTGAGTGTTCTTGTTTTTATAAATTTGCAAAATGTTCTAAAAAAGTTTTTGCTTTGTCATTATGGGGTATTTTGTGCAGAATTTTTGAGGGAAAAAAGGAATTTAATCCATTTTGGAATCCATTTTGGTCCTGGGGCCTCATGTATCAATACTTGCGTGGGACTCATACCAGAAACGTGCGCACGCAAGGTCCGTCACGCTGAAAAAATCCGTATGTATCAATGTGTGCGGGCGCCGAAATCCATGTGTGTTTCCTTGATAAATCCCAATCAGCGTGGAATTGAGCGCAGATGTCGGAGTGACTGGGCCCGCCCCCGTTACGCCCTCACATAAATATGCAGATTTATTTAAATAGGGTCTCCCTGTCCTGGCACGCAGACAAAATGACAAGAAAAACTAAATTTAAGGCGTGCGAGGTGGAGGTGCTGGTGGCGGAGGTGGAGGAGCGACAGCGTGTTTTGTTTGGCAGCCTGTCCAGTGGCGTCAGTGCAAAACGAAAACGCTTGGAGTGGGAGAAAGTTTGCAAGAGGGTGAACGCGGTGGGTTCCGAGACACGCACCCCCGCGGAGATTAAAAAAAAGTAGTCGGACCTCAAGGTGGAGGTCAAGCGGTGTACAGCTGCCCTCCGGAGGAGTACCGGCCAGACAGGTGGGGGTCTGGGGGAGGAGACCCTCACGCCGTTTGAGCAGCGGGTGGTGGCGATTATTATTATAGGGTAAGTGGCGTGTCACACAAATGTCCACATGCTTTGCCATCCCACTGAGCAAAAGACGTATATTAGACGTCTAGTCTAAGTTTATACTTCATTTCAACGTCGGCATTCAGTCTATTTTTAGACGTGATTTATACTTCGCCCTTAACTTCATTTTTCGATAACTTTTTATGCAATAAACAACTGTAATGTGCATAACTGACCTCTAAATACTGGATAACATTACCTATGATACCGTGGAGTGTTGAGTGTTCTTGTTTTTATAAATTTGCAAAATGTTCAAAAAAAAGTTTTTTGCTGTCATTATGGGGTAATTTGTGCAGAATTTTTGAGGGGAAAAAAAGGAATTTAGTCCATTTTGGAATAAGGCTGTAACATAACAAAATGTGGAAAAAGTGAAGTGATATGAATACTTTCCAGATGCACTGTATGTGCAGTGGAGCTCGCGTGTGCCGAGTATTAGCATTAGTGAGCTATCGTCGGCGATCACACAGCCGATCAATCATCGAGTTATAGGACAAATAAAAGCACAAAACTGATGCTTCAACTGCGAGCTAACTGTTTAAGGTGAATGAATGAAATATGGGATGCAGGGCGTATGGTGCAGAGTCCACTGTTTGTTGCACCAGCAGTGGGTTACTTGATTGGCAGGTCACTGCATGTCTCCTTGAGTGAAAGCAGCACAATCTCGGAAATGTGAACAAGGAAGCCAGGAAGAACACATGCATTGACTGAGAGGAGCTGCTCATAGATCATGCTAGTTTAGGTTTTAAATCAACCCTATTAGGTGGATCTCGTTTGCCGTTCATACCTCCACCGTTACCTGAAGTAGCCATTGTTTATGTCATCACGTGACGCGACAACGCATGGTCTTTGCATTGACGCATGTTCTTTGCGTCAATGAAATTTTGTAGTCGATTACATCGACAAATCGCCCCAGCCTTAGTCTCATCTGATACCAACAGGGGTTTTTGTTTGTTTGTTTGTTTGTTTTCTGTGGGTCATGTCAAAGGGCATCAGTGTTTCTTTCAGGCAGAATAAAAATCAGACAAAAACAATTCTCATATAAGCTTTAAAATCTGTTTGCAATGCAAAATAATGGAAATTAAAACATGTGATCAAGGTGCAATTAATCACGATCAGTCATGGCTATTCAGAGATCAATCACCACTATAAAATGGTTGTTTGACAGCCCTAGTTATAAGTTGTTGTATTCCTTTCTCCAAATATAAGAAGTGGGACCAATAAGGTTCATACTATCAGGATCTTTGTATAAAAAACACCTTGGGCCTCATGTATCAACGCTTGCGGCGCAAGAAAACCTTGCGTACGCCAAAATCGGCGCACACGTCCAGATTTATCATCGCGAAACGAGCGTCGGTTCCAGCGCTAATCAACGCAAAGTCAGGAGGTGGTGTAGAAATTGGCGTTGAGCTGGATATTTGCGTTGACTGTGATTCGCACTTTGGCGACGCTGTGTGGCGGTGTTTGGTGACTCACTATGTGACCAGCGTGCACCACATCCCCGTGGCCGGGCAGCACGTCGCCCCACATGACGAACCAGCAGCAGACGGAGGGATGCGAGCTGATCCCTGCCGGGCCGCCGTCCTCGCGCGGGAGAATCTCATCGCCACAGTGTGAATGGGTAAGAAGTGAATACACAGTTCAATGAGCCAAATTAATTTATTTTCTCCACCAGACGCTCGAGGAAATTTACGAGCCGGTCCAGCCGCTCGTTGATCCCCGCGATCCCCCTGATGATTTCTTCCTGCGATTGCAGGACCCCCTCCGCGAGGACCCTTCCACTGCGTCCGGGTGGTCCAGCGGAAGCGCCGCGGCTGGTGGACGCTCCACCGCTTGTCGGCGCGCTGGTGCTGATGCTGGTGCTGGGGCCGGGGGCCGGGGTGGCCCGAATGCCGCTGGTCCTGGCCGACGACTCCGAGCCGGCGGACGGGCTGCCGCGGGCCAGGGTTCCGCAAGCCGGCGACACGGCCGACACATTAATTTCTGTGACACAATAAAAATATTAGTTCATTTCAATTCCTGCTTCTGTGTATCTGTTGCGTTTACATCTCTCTCCACGGTATCATAGGTAATGTAATCCAGTATTTCGAGGTCAGTTATGCACATAACAGTTGTTTATTGCATAAAAAGTTATCGGAAAATGAAGTTAAGGGCGAAGTATTAATCACGTCTAAAAATAGACTGAATCCCGACGTTGAAATGAAGTATAAACTTAGACTAGACGTCTAATATACGTCTTTTGCTCAGTGGGATGACAAAGCATGTGGACATTTGTGTGACACGCCACTTACCCTATAATAATAATCGCCACCACCCGCTGCTCAAACGGTGTGAGGGTCTCCTCCCCCGGACCCCCACCTGTCTGGCCGGTACTCCTCCGGAGGGCAGCTGTACGCCGCTTGACCTCCACCTTGAGGTCCGACCACTGTTTTTTAATCTCCGCGGGGGTGCGTGTCTCGGAACCCACCGCATTCACCCTCTCGCAAACTTTCTCCCACTCCAAGCGTTTTTGTTTTGCACTGACGCCACTGGACAGGCTGCCAAACAAAACACGCTGTCGCTCCTCCACCTCCGCCACCAGCACCTCCACCTCGCACGCCGTAAATGTAGTTTTTCTTGTCATTTTGTCTGCGTGCGAGGACAGGGAGACCCTATTTAAATAAATCTGCATATTTATAGGAGGGCGTAACGAGGACGGGCCCAGTCACTCTGACATCTGCGCTCAATTCCACGCTGATTGGGATTTATCAAGGAAACACACGTGGATTTCGGCGCCCGCACACATTGATACATACGGATTTTTTTCAGCGTGACGGACCTTGCGTGCGCTCGTTTCTGGTATGAGTTCCACGCAAGTGTTGATACATGAGGCCCCTTGTCTTTTGACGGTAACTGATTAGCATTTTATCAATATTTTCCCTCCTTCACCTTCAAACAAAGTCTATATTCGTTTATGAGAACAGTAACTGCAAGGCTTGCTTACTTCGTATACAAGTTTATCCTGTCCTTTGGGCCTAAAACTGTAAATCTAGCTTTTTTAGTGAATGATAGCTGGAAGTCGGTGTCCAGGTGAAGAATGATGCTGCAGCAAGATCAGCTGAGCAACAAGCTCCACCCACAAATTTACTCAGTCTGTATAAACATTTAAAAAATTCCTCCTCTAAAAATAATCCATCTGAATTTACAATCCATCAGTGTCAAGAGCCAGAAACGCACACACACACACACACACACACACACACACACACACACACACACACACAGAGTGATACATGATCTGTCTAATGTTCTTAATGTGAATTTTGGATATTAGATGACAGAAAATGCCACATACACACACACACACACAAACTCGCAGCAACAGCTGTGTGTTATTGTACACCATATGTGAGTGTGGTTGTGAGTGTGTTCAAGTGTGTGTGTGTGAGCTTTTGACGTTGATGGTTCACAAATGCAGACGAATGATCGCTGAATGACAATTCCAGTAATCGTTAGCCACCCCCCCCACCCACCCCCCCACACACACACACACCCTCTGGCAATACATCAGTGAGACTGTGTGTGTGTGTGTGTGTGTGAGTGTGTGTGAAAGCTATCTATCAAGGAGAGTGGAAAGAGAGGGAGTCCCGAGTGTCACATTTGTCTGGGAGGGGAGAGCGAGGAAGACAAAGATTCTCTCTCTCCTATCTCAGCAGAGTTGTGTGTGTGTGTGTGTGTGTGTGTGTGTGTGTGTGTGTGTGTGTGTTTGTGTGTGTGTGTGTGTGTCTGCTTTGTATTGTATCTCTGTTGGCGTCAGACGTTGGCCTCCGCTGCCATTTATTGTTGGGACGTGCTGAACACCATCAGGCTGGTATCAGAATGCCAGAGCTGGAAAAAATCCTTAAAAAACACCCCCACAGTGTTCAAAGCTCCAAATCTGAACATCAGATTATTTTTCTTCCCCGTTCGATCAACATTTTCTAACAATTGGTGAGTAGAGTACTCAAACACTTCTGTCTTCTTATGCTAAATTACTCTGCAACACTCATTTCCTTCCTTTTTTCTCAGGAAATGATAGTTGTTTGATTGTTTGGTCAGGATGAAGCCCTCAGGATGGATGACATATTTCTGTCCTGGTTTTACCCTGAACTCAGTATCTGCACATTTAAGAAAGTCTGTTTTCCCCTAATCCCATTTGAGAATTTACAGATGGTGTCTCAAAATACTAAGTTTCTCTCTTGGTAAATCTTTCAGATAACTTAAAGAAAAAAAAAAAACATTTTTAAGCTGGTCATTAATAAGATGTTTGATCAGGAGTTGCCCCATTTAGAGAGCAATTTTGTACTTCTGGGTTTAATTTTTAAAACTGTGACCAGGAATTTGAGATTTGTGGACTGAGAAATATTCAAAAACACATTTTAATCTCAAACTGGACAGAAAAAAAATAAGTGGATTTAACCTCTGTCTCCTCTGCTCAGGTCTTCATTGATTCAGACACTTGAGCTCTTTTAGTTGACACCAGTCTGATTATAAAAATGGATAAAGTTGCACCACTTTTGCACCTCTTATCAATTGCACAGGCAGTGATAGTAGATCACCCGCAATACGCCCACCATCAACACACTTAATTTTTTTAGTTTGCACACACAGTTTAGCGCTCCTTATTTGGAATCTTTGCAGATAAGGCCCTTTGTGGATTGTTACTCATGGCGTCTTTCTCCCCCTCCACACACACACACACACACACACACACACACACACACACACACACACACAGACCCAGAGGAAGCAATAACAATGAAGTTCCACCCTCCCCGTTTCTCCCTGACCCCCACCCACCCACCTCCTCTACCTCCACCTCCACCTCCTCTCATCTCTGTCCATCTAATTTTATGAGTGTCTGGGGACGTGGTCTGTGTTTGTATGCTTGTGTATTGCAGGATGTGGAGTGTATGTCTGCATGGGGTGTGTGTGTGTGTGTGTGTGTGTGTGTGTGTGTGTGTGTGTGTGTGTGTGTGTGACTCTAGCGGAAAATGCCTGCCTGTCACATTAGTGGCTGGATGGGCTAAAAAATCACATCAGTAATAACATTTGGACGCCAGGCCCGGTCATGTTAACCTCTTTATTTAGAGGTATGGATGGATTTAAGGACGGCTGCAGAGATGGAGGGATGGAGGTGGTGAAGCAGGAGGACAGACAGAGAGCAGCTGCTTTTCTTTTTCAGGGGTGATTTATTTCAGCTCTTCTTATAAATCTTCAAAGAGTTAATCTTAGTGATGTCCATCCAGGTTGGTCTGAACTGTATCTGAGAGGAGTAACACTGATATCTTTTGACTTTTGGAGATTGTGGGCTCCATTTTCGTGCTTCGCCGGAGACGTGCCGCAGGCGTAAGTCAGGTCTGCTGCGCCGACAAGGCGTTCCCAAGCACAATTTGGTATTTTGGTGAGCAGCACAGCCCGGCGTAAGTATTCCCCCTCCCTAACTCAGCTCCTCCCAGCGGCGTAAGTCGTAGCGAGGGAGGAGAGAGGGCGTGGAGTGGGTTTAACACAGCCAAGACCTGTATTGACCAATAAAATCAGCTCCTCTCCTCGCCTTTAAATCCGCCACCAGCAAGGCATATTACTATTTTCGTGAAGTAGTCAAAGAGATCAAGAGATGTCTGAAGACAGTAATGCCACACAATGGCGACAGAAGACAGCTCCTCAACAAGTGTTGCTGCAGAAGGCATCCTCCACACTCTCTCATATGAGCACAGAGGGATTTGGTATGTGTAATGTTGGACCCACTAGTAAGACAAACATCCCTTTTCCACAAATAAAGACACTCACATGAAGTTGCATATATTCAAACCTCACGTGACAAAGGTGGGTTGTGCGCACAGATCACAACATAAATTCCTAAAATGGCATGAAAATCGGAACCATCTGTGCGTAATGACGCATCGCGCTCCGTGGCCTGGCTCTTTCTTTCATAGATGTTGGCATATAAAATAAATTTGGCTCACAAAACTGAATATTATAATATTCGTATGTAGGCTTAAAGTAAATAACTCATCTGATCACTGAAACAAATCATCTGTTTAGTTGCAGCAGGACGGGGATAGGACACGAAGACATGTCCAGGACGAGCTGCGCGAGAAATAAGAGGAAGAGGAAGAATGAAAAGGAGGGAGATGAATTACATATCTTGTTAACTTCATGATGTGTGTCTATTTACTAGATATTTAATTTAATTTAATGCGGTTTCAACTGTGTTGATTTGGTCAGGTTGCGTGTCCAAATGCGTGCCAAACGCGCTCATCAGATCAGATATAGATCAGAATATATTTATATAGATCTAAATGTATGTGCTGAGTCAGATTATTAGTTGTTGATGATTATTTATTGCACTGAAATGTGCCTGACACTTTGGAAACCTGTGGTGACATATGCCGATACGCCGAAAATACCAAACTGGCTGTATGCCGGGCTCCGCCAGACAAAAATACAACTGCGCGGGGTCCGCCACCCTCCGCTGCCTCACTGGTGTACACGAAAATAGAGCCCTGAAAGTCTGTTATAGGATCTGCTTCAATGATAGTGTCACTTCTTTTGGTCAACAAACTTCATCAGAAGTTCAGAGTATCACTTGATCCCTGAAATGATTATCTTTTCCTGGAGGTAAGGAGCCATGCTGTTGTCCAGAAACCTAAAATCAAGACAGCAAAAACAATTTATTATCACTCTGGATAACATGTTTCTGCACCACTATGAACACATCACATGTTTTCTGACTGATATCAAAGCAATATTTCTAATAATGTGATTTATGGTTCTAAAAAATTGTGGGGAAGTGATTTAAAATGGTGAAAGGATGCAGTTTTAACAGCTCATTCAAGAGTAAGATCACTGCTTGCTTGTCATTATTAACACATTATTCAAAATGTATTTATTGCATGGAAGTGGTTCTGGTTTGGAGGGTTTAATTTCAGATGGATTGAGACTTGGCGATACTATTTATCCATTCTGGATCAGGCAATTGGTTTTCCTGGCATTTAAAAAGGAAGCATAGAAGATTAACTCAATCTAGACACAGCGTAAAAAAATGAAGAAAAATAAAGGACCTTTCTAACAGCTGCTTCAAACTAACAGTTTCATGTTTTTGATAAGTTATTTACAGCGCTTAGTTTACCTTAGTTTACCTCTGTGTCAGCTATACAAGCACAAAGTAGATGTAAAAAAAAAAAAACAACAAACAAAAAACTGTGAAAGATACAAAAAAGGCTTTCTGTTTTGTTTGACTTGTTCAAAAAGTGTTTGTACAACTTGTACTAAATGCATGTTTGAGTACTTTTTAAAAAAAAATCTGTTAATCAATCCTATGAACTCGTAACACCCCCAATGTAAGCATGTAGTTAAACCTGAATTCAGGCCTTTGATAATACTGATTTTTTTTTTTTTAATTTCATTTAATTTATCCAATTTTTTTTTTTTTTTTTTTTTTTTTTGTACAACAGGAAGTGGATGTTGATCAAACCAAATGTGGAGTTGTGTTTCTTTATTCTCAAAATGGCTAATGTGATAATGTGACATACATAAATGAGCCAAATACCAAAAACTTACAGCAATATTAAATCCACTTCTCACGGTGTCCCGCAAAATAACATATAATCCCACCACAACCACCTAGTATCTGAGTCACATTTCTTCAGTGCTATGTCCCATCCATAACTATAACAGGGGTCTGAAACAGGAAGGACTGATCTGACCAGTACCTCTGACCACCGAAAACCATAATAAAGTATTTGGAGCTTGAAGGGCTGGTAGGCCATCAAAGATTAACCACAATGTCCCTGCATTCATTCAACATGCCCTCATATCCATAAACTCGCCGCACACCCTCTAATCCATTAATTTCATTCAAGCAAACAGTTTACAGGATCTGCGTAGACCTGATGTGTCCTATTAGAGTGTTGGGCCTCAATGAAGCAGGCTCAGTCCTATAAACCAAAAGGTCAGTCCTCGACTCACAGAGTGATCCGGTTATAGCGTTGCTCATTTGCATTCTCAGGCTTTAAACCAACAGTCATGCATATAATGGCCAAGCACAGAGCTTGTGTTATCCACTCCAGACAGAGGGTGTTGTTCGTGACAAGCAGGTCTAAAGTATTTACCATCAAGTCTCCACTGAGTCCCAAATCACTTTCTCAG